TACTTTAGAGTAAAAGACAAATAGCTCAGTTAAAGAACACTGACAGTAAACAGTATCCACAGGTACACAGTAGCTGCCGTTCAACTGCGTCTGCCAGTACTCATTATTAAAATGCCCTAATTTAATGCACGCATTTTTTACAGTAAACAAAAAAAGTTCTACCCGGAATAGTAAACTTAAACGTCGGTTCGCAAAAGGCCTGGCACACGACGGACAGACGGCACCGCTGCGCATGGAGGATCGGCGCCACCAAACGCTCGCCTACCTCCTTCTGGAAAGTGAGCACCAAATTGGTACGACCGCAGATGAACGGCCCTTCCCTCAGACACATTGCTCGAAACCACCTGAATCGCTCGAAGACGTAACGAAATGAGCTGTGCATCGATCATGCTAACTGTCTACCTGGTAATCAAATAGGTCGACACGTTGAACGGCAAGTTTCCGACAACAAACGTGTCCGGCGGTTCTTCGTCCCAAGACCTATAGGTTGACAACGGGAATATGCTGCTGAAGTCGTGGTTGCGAATGTCCCCTACGGTTACAGTCAGTAGACCTTGACTAGCGTCGGCCAGCAACTGAAACAAAACAGAACATACAGAGCACGACTTCCGACACAGAATTATTAAAGAACTGAACCAGTAAGAAAAATTGTTGTACAGGGCCAGGTTGGAGGAAGGAATGAAAGAAAGGAAGGAAGGAAAGAAAGAAAGAAGAAAGAACAAAAGAAAGACAAAATAAGGAAGAAGAGGAATGTAGAAAATAAAGAATTAAGAAAGAAAAAAATAAGGAACGAAGGAAGACAGGAAGATAGAAAAATAAAAATTAAGAAAGCAAGAAAAGAAATATAGAAGGCAGGAAACAAAAAGGAAAAACAGGAAGGAAGAACCTGATAATCGAACGAATGAATGAATGAATTAAGGAACGAAAGAATGAATGACCGAACAAGTGCCAGAATTCTATGTCCGTTTGTTTCACCACACTTGCCACCTTAAGACCAGATACGACAGTTCTGCCAGCTAGAATGTTGG